TATAAATTCATATAAGAAATATGTATTAAGAACTCTATTGAAATGATTACAATTTTCTGTATATATATGTAATAATAAACTACGAATAAAAATAATTTTAGTATTCGTTTCCAAGTAAAATCATAATCGATATTATAAATCAGTACATATAATTTCGACAATTAACTTTATCAAGTGGATAATTAAAAACTTGTTTAATTTAAAATTCATAGTTAAATTAGGCTAATACCTCTTTTTTCTTGAAGTAGTTTACTAAAAAACAATTAGTACATAAAATAAATCAATACTATAAAGGAAGAATAATAAAAAAATAAAGAAAAATAAAAGCGTGAGACATACATGGCTATAAAGAAAAACTGTTTCCGAACTACTATGTATTAGAATGAATCTGATTATCATTGATAAAATTTCTTTGCTATAGTCGGTGAATCACCTTGAGATGGAATAAAGTTCAGCCACGTATATATACTTTAATCGACGATTCTTCGATTTTCGTACGAAGCTCCTATCAATTGATAGTACAATCTCAACCTAAAGGAGATATTGAAATCTGTGGTTCCCTCGATGTATCCAGCATAATACTCTATCACTTCCGTAGAATTTTTACAGAAAAAACTCAAATTTTCTCACACTATTCTTTTACTCTTCCATCCACTCACTTTCTTTCTTTCTACTAATTCTTCTTTTTACTCAATTTACTTCTCTTTTTTACTCCCACTCAATTACCAATTTTAATATACATATGACGAAATAATTTTGAGGCAAATAATATGCTATAGTATAAAAGTAAGACAACTCACTGAATTAAAAAAATTATTCAAGAGGGAACATTTTCTTTTTTCATTACAGAATTATTACATTATAGTATTTTTTGTACATCTGACAATCTATTATTGCAAATATCTTCTAGTTATAATAATTAAGAAATTATCATAATAGATAATAAGATTATGTAATTTTATTTATTAAATAAATAGGATCTATTCATTATTTCCAATTTTAAAAATCATGTTTCAAATATTTATACATGTATAGCATTTATAGAGATTCACGATAATATATGATGAATACACATTCAAAGGTTCAATAATATACCCAGTATAACTTTTACACGTGTCTATCATATTCTAATATTTTAAACTATCCCCGGTAGCTTATCCAATAATCCAATAATCGTTCACACCAAAGACACCAGTCTCATACCGATGTGTTTTTAAAACGCCTTTCTTGATATTACTCAAAGAGGCTGACTGCACCGTTACTTTTACTACTTAATACCAGAATTTATATATTAATATTTTATAATGTAATGAAATCTTAATATATATTTTTTGATGATTTTGAAGGCACGTGTGTACGAAAGTTCGATTCTCGTGATAGCTATGATAATAAATTACTGATCATTTTTATAGTACCGAATATGAAATTAAATTGTCTTGTTGATTTTAATGGCGATATATTCGATACGTATATTCGCATATATACAAAATTATAAATTCTGTATTTACACAAAATACTTGTTTAATTACTAAAGGCTAACGTGTGAAAATGGTAAAATTCATAAATTGTTTCAAAAATATATACTACTACTTATATATTTGAAATATAAAACATTAAGGTGTATAACAAAACGTATATAAGGTTCCATTCTAATCGAATTTTATTATGAATTCATACAATTATAAATTTAAATAATTGTTCACTTTCAAGAACAAATAATCGATTTTTTTTCCTTTTTTTTCTTTTAATGGAAAAGCTCATCCTGATTATACAATATTATTTAGGTGTAAGCAGCCATTTACAAGAGCCTGAAAATATTTTAATCTGCGACTGTAAAAAAAGATTGAATGTTTGTAAATTCTATTATCTCAATATTAAAATAAAACATCAATTACGATGCACATAAAATTATCTGAATATGTTTATGAATTAATTGTATAAATTGAAACTATTAACCTTTTGCAATTTTATATAACTTTTAAAAATATATAGGAACACTTAAAATATTCCTACAAATTCATTAAACTATATACAAATTATACAGTAGTTTCTTCTATTTTCTTTGACATATTTTTTATCCCTTTAATGCATTTTATTCTTTTTGTAATATTAGACTACAATAATTATAAGCACTCATATAGAATAATATTGTTAAATATTAAAAAGAAAATTTTTAAGTATTAATGAAATATTTTAACTTTAGATTTCAAATGTTAAAGTCTGATGACTAATCTTAGAAATAATCAAAATTAAGTTACTGTTCACATTATAATATTCAAATAAATTATGAAATAAAAATAATAATATAATAAAGATTAACATTTTTATTTACGTTTGATTTTAAGTAAAAATGATCTACATGTATCTTAATCTTAAGTACCTTAATACTGCATATTTGTGATTTTCAATTTAGACTTAAAGATTTAATATAAATTTGATATAAATTTACACGAGTGATTATTTAAATTCCATTAATTTTTTTTAATCGCTTTCAGACTTAGGTGTAATAAAATTAAACTATACAAAAAAATTAATTATTATTTGGTGATGTTCTATAAGGCATAGTATTTTATAATTAAAATTCATTCAAATACGTTGCCTGAATTTAAAATAAATGTTTATATTAATGAATTAGATATACACAATTTTATCAACAAATATTTTGATATAAAATATAATATCAAATGAGTCTTTATGTTTGCTGTAGTAATAAATATTTGATCAATGTAAATAAAATTAAAAATTACCCTTTATTCCTTTCGTTTGATAAAAAATGAAAGTACTTAAAATGAAAGGAAACAGGTACGAAGAAAATAATATCAAATTAACGCTTATACTATGGTATTTGCTCATGAGGGTCAAAAATTTATTAGATGTATTACATAATTCATATATTACACTTCTTTAGGAGAGAATAAATAAAATAATAATTTTTTTAATTTGTCAATTTATTAATAAATAAGAAGATTATTTATGTACTCGACAGTATTTTTATAAATTTCTTATAAAATAAAATCACGTAATAACTAAAAATTGGTAATTTAATTTATGAACTTTTAACTATAACTTTATTTCATAATATTTGCGAAGTATAACATGTATTAAATATAGTAAAATCATTAAGAAAAAGCTAATAGTATGTCATAATAATATAAAATAATGTTCCAAATTTTGTGACTTTTTAACTTTACACTTAAAATTCAGACACTTTTTTCGATTATTTAATTTTTATATTACCTACACTACAATGTTCTTTATAATGTATTTATATATGCAATATATTATATTCCATATAAAATACCATACCACATTCTATATTTTAAAAATACAAGAAGTTAATTTGTCATTGAGGGACTGGATTTTAATGTCGAAGTCCCATTAAAACCGAACCTAAAAAGTCCTAATTTAAACACACCTTGCATAAATTATACAAGATGAGAGAATATCAAATTCTAACTAGTTTTAGACTCTCATTTAATTGAAATGTCTGTACCGGGAATGTAATTGGAGAATTAATAATTAATAATAAATTAGTTTAAAAGTGAATGACTAGGAATATCATTCAATTATTTATAGAAGGATAATGAAATAAATGAGCTTACATGAAGCTACAGTTATTAACTGTGTTTCTTTAAATATTTCGTCAAAGAGATTAATCATCTAGGCTTATCTATAATTCGTACTGTCACGTCCGTTACATTTGGATGGATGATAAATATAGAAAACAATTTTATTAAGAAAACATCAATAAATATAATAGGTAACTAGGTAAATATAATATTATATACCTATATTTTATTTTATTCCTATTTATGAATGGATTTCACATTTAGATTGAAACTGAACCAAAATGTTTTTTAATTAATAACTTAATAAAGTTTTTTGAATTAAGATTTAAAGTAACTGATTTTCCAAAGCATGCAATCTGTAAGGATTGCAAAGAACAATTTATTTACATTAGTATCTGATAAACAGAATTTCATAATAATAATATTATCGATAAAATAATACGAGAGATATTTATTGTAATTGGTTAATGACTAATTGGAATTACAGCCGTATAATTCCTCTATTATCATTTATTACTTGAACACAAGTAATTAAGTACTATAATAAATACGTATGTTCTACTTTGGGGCAACAGTTATACAATCAGTTACGTTGAACATATACGTTGAAATATTTGCATTTTCTATATATTGTATAGTTGAATAGAATTTGAAAAGTTTGCTTTTTCATTACTTTCCTCTGAGCATAATTCACTCTATAAGTTATAAGATTTCTAAGTGTACTTATACTGATTAAAAAAGACAAATTGACATTTTTTTAATGCATTGTGATAAACAATAATAAAAATAATATGTATATTTAATTTATTCTGTAATTTTGTTAAAATATTAAATTTTTATTATTATTACGATATATATATATAATTCAGTTTTCTAAGTAGTGCAATCACGAAATTTATAAAATATTTGCTTTTCTAAAAATATTCTTAAGCTTTGTTTAAAAAAATGTGTATTCTCACACTAACGAATATAAAAATGTTATTTATATTTACAACATATATTACAGCGAACCGATAAATTATAGTAACAAAGTATAGTAGTTTTTCAAAATCATATCTGTACTTTCATGTTGCTTAAATTCAATGCGCACTGGATAATCCTTATTCTATTATATTTTCTTGTATATTTTGTAACTTAATAATCATTTTTATACCCACTAATGATCTTGTATAATCTCATTAAATGTTTTACGAACTTTTGTCTCGAAATAAATTCGAGTACAACAATACATTTTCGTAAACACTCAACAGTATTAAAAAATTATAATAAATTTCATAATTCTTTTATTATTTTCTACATTTTTATATTAATTTCCAATACATGTAAATTTCATTGATTAAGTAAGCTACTATTATAAAACTTTTTTTTAATGTAATTCAAAGTTAATTTAAAAAATTATTATTTAAATATTGCGTGATAATAAAAACTTACAAATATGGTAGAGGACTAAATTGTTCTCGGTGCTTCCTTTATATCTCTGAAACGCTTGATTAATCGGTGCAAAGACAGTCACGTGCCTGTGCATCAGTGTATTATTTGCAATTGGATTGTTCTCTAATAGATGATAAAACTGCCAACAAAAACAAAATTATTCATTATGGTTGTACAATTACAGTCTTATAAATATATTGATATATATTTGAATATATAATAAAAAGTGAAACTTTTATAACAAAAAAGAGTGATATGTTCGTGCTCTATATAAATTACACAAAGATAAATTGCGAAATGATGAAAATCATGAGCACAAAATGAAGTACATTATGAGTTACAGATCACAGAAGTCAATTCAGTCAAACTTTAATTTCTTTTGTACAATTTACTTTTATAAATATAAATCAATCAGTAAATATATAAAACAAAAAGTATACATACACAACTGTGTCTATGACATTTATCAGTTGATTCGAAGTATTTGAATCGAATTCAATTAGAGTTTATTAATATAAACAAATGATTCAACTTCGTAAAAATGAATAAATATCAGAAAAGCAAGCATAAAATACAATTTTTCTGAAAAAGAAAATATAAAAAATTAACAATTTTCTTTAAATTTATTTCTAGCTCAAACGCAACTGATTGCTCAAATAAAAGCTTTATGATTCTCCTTTCATTAATTGTCATAAATTTAAAAGATAATAATAATAACTGATGATGGAACAGTCAACATGAATTGAAGTAGATATTTTCTGATATATCGTATTGTTACGGATTACAACAGTTTTAAGCGGAATACAAAGTGGGAGAGGTATGAGCGCGTGCAGCGCAGACGCTCGTTCCTTACTACTTGTTCTAGTTACAAGCACCCAGCAAGACAGGATGGCCACTCTGCTCATCACACAGTTTCCGCCACCACGTGCAAGTAACGCCGGCTCTCGTTCTTGCATATTACCTCGCCACGCGGTTACTGCTACCACTTCACGCAGTTCCCGCCGCCACGTGCAAGCAACGCCGACGTTCGTTCTTGCATAGTACCTTACACCGCGATTTACGCCCGCATGTAAGTAACGTCGACGCTATTTCTTACCTTTACCTGTGCACCGCGATTTATGCTCGCATTGAGTACAAGAACGTGCGCCAACACCACCACTACCGTGGAGCTCACAGGCACAAGCTGTGACGTCACACGGACGTTCTCCCACCACTTCGTACACTACAGTTCACCCCTTCACCGGCTGCCAAGACGGCACTAACTTACTTCCCCTACCACCACGAGTTCCTCACTACGTCCACTAAACCGAAGAAGAAGGGGAATCACGCTCCAGACTATCAAGAACAGACGCACAGACTCATCGTCACCACTACTACTGAAGAAACACCAATATATTCATTCTATCACATATTCATTCCTATATTCATAGATTATTAACTACTCATTACTTATTATATTTAATAAAAGGAAAGACTATTAACATTAAAGGCAGTATTGAATAATTGCATTGCCCCTTCCACTTGCCAGCAAGCTTCCACCCACCATCATAGGGAGGTTTTTAGTCTGATCCCAGACACGTAAGTATTTATTTCTTACTTTCATTTCTTTTAATTATTTTTCTTCTCAAGCGAAAAATACTGCAAGTATCTATAGATTAATCTTGTTTTATTGCAAAAGTAAGATTGGCTAATTACGAAGATATAATTAGTCGCATTGATGCTTGCTATTTACAGTGATCGCAAAAGCAAAATAATACGTAAAAATATAAAGGGGCCGAGCAATCCACTTTGGATTGTTTGACATTTTAATATCATATTTTAATATCAGGTCGAATACATAAAAAACTCTCAATTGAGATGACGATTCACCGAGTAGGCAGTCGGTAAAATGACAGACATGATCGCTGAATTCGCATAATACAAGATTCGATTATTCCTAGATTCATTCGAAGCCTTGTAGTTTTATGTTTTTTATTTGAAATTAAGCGTAAGCCCTTCAAGCGCGATATACGCTGAAAAAATACAATTAATGATAGATTAAATTAATTCATTTGTGTCGACTAAATTAAACATTTGCTTAAATGAACAAACTTATTCTTGAATTCTAATTTATTTATAATATTAAACAGGATTAATTTAAATTAATAATTAAATATAATAAACAATTATAAACTATAATAATTTAATGTGATTACGAAATAAATATAGAAGACAACAGAATGTTAAACATTCATATAAATAAAGAAAACACCCCAACATTACCATTTAGCTTTATAAAACTTAAAATAAAATAAAATAAACAACAAATAATTTTCATAGCGGTAAGATTTATAAAATCAGTTATGAATATAAATATATTCATTACAGAGGTCTTTTAATTATATATCAGGATCGTTATCGTAGACTCATTCGACTCCTATAAGTAAATCAATTCATTTCCATGGTTATATAAATACTAGAGGGAATTAGCTCATCTAAGCTAATCGTCGACTAAACTTATCCCATTTTAAATGCATTTTTATTCATCGATTCTATCAGTCTAAATGGGCATTTATATATATTATATTTATACAAATTTATAAAAAAATCTGTTAAGTATGATTATTATGACAAACGTAATTTCTTATATTTTATGTTTATATGTTATATGATATATGTATATTATTCTAAAATGTATATCTTTATTGTAAATTCTATTTCATATATTTCTAAAGACTTTTTCTATTGTTTATGTTTATAGTATGCATAATATTGCACAATTTATTATTTTGTTTAAACATGAGTCTCAATCATAAGAATTAATTCAAACATGAGTTAATTTTATTACTATATCAATACATACGAATTCAGATCAATATTTTCTACAACTCTAATAATCTTTTTATCTGTTACATATGAGGGCTTATGCACACATTTGTGTACATATGTGTATATATTGACATAAATATATTTGTTCTCTTATTTTCCAATATATTCTATCCATATATTGGTTTAATCAAAGCAGTTTTCAAATTAAGAATAATTTTCGTACCATTTTTATTGGTAATTTCTTTTAAGTTTATTATATCATATTCTGTATATTTTTATTATTTCAAATAATATTATATACTTTATAATATTATTTCAAAATATTAAATTTCTATATAAATACTCTATCAAATCTTCTAATCATAATAATTCCTTTATTTTTATTTTACATAATTATAAATCTATTTTAATATATTATTTATTTATATATATAGACTTATTTGTTTTAATATGATTCTTTTTCAATTTTTTTCCTTTAAGCATATATTATATAATGGATTACATAATGTGTAATTAAGTATTCTTATATATTATTTTTTATTTTTTTATACTTTACTAATGTAAAGTATGAAAGTACTTCTTCAATTACCTCTTACTTTTTAGTTATTCCATCATATCTAGTTTTTTTTAATTTTGTTGTATCTTCTCAAATTTTTTGTTTTTATCGTTCTTACAATGATTTGCTTTAGATTTTCCTCTTATTTAATTTTTTTCAATTTATAAACTTATAAACTTTTAATTTTTTTATTTGTATTATAGCTATTCATTGAATATATTTAAATACAGAATGAAAAAATTATTTCTTCACTTTATTTCCTAATATGATGAGTTACAATCAGAAAAGAATACTTAAATTTTAATATAATAACATATTTGTTTACTCTCGTATTTTTCTGTAACTGGTATGAATTCCAATTCATCTCGTATACTATTCACCAGTTATGTTTATGTAGGTCTTCGCAGCTTATAAAGTGCTATAGTTGTAATTGTAACAGAAACTCATTTAAATAAATTTTTCCATAAATTGCAAAAATGTTTCTTGATCATATTAAATTATTATTTAATTTTAATATTAATTCAAATGACTTTGTATATAAAAACGATTAAATAAATCTTTAAACTTACTCTATGTCACATAGATAAAACTATATTAATTCACATCATATTTATTAATGTCTTTTAAAATATTTATTTATAACTTAAACATAATTTATTAAAATATTAAATATACACACTATATAAATACGAATCAGAATTTTTAAATGAATATTTTTAAATTATATAATGTAAAATATTGTATTTACAACAATTTTAATAAGTTGTATGAATTCTAAATAACTACTTTGTGTATGCATATGTATTTTTTTTTTTTTTTTAAAGAAAATAATAAAAGATACTTTTATGTAATTATTCAAATTTAAAGTAAATAAAACTAGATAAACATATAAAATTTATTTGATTTAATAATGCCAAAATCTAGTAATCTAGTTATACAGTGAATAATATTTATAAAATTAATTTTTAATCTTGAATCTACTGTAGATAACAAGAAAAAGGGGCTTTTAATATTTTTCATAACTTCTTTATTTTCTGTCACAGAAATGCACGAGTCCAAATTTAACATCAAATTATTACGATTTTTATGAATATTCTAATTAATTGGTATTTGTAATTTTCTAAATTTGTGCACACATTTTGGTTTACAATATACTTGGATGACATTAAACGAGAATTTCATTTCTTTGCTTTAATATCAGACAATTAGTGCAATTCATTATTTGATATGAATTTTACATCAACCCGTACTTAATTACTAATTTATGAAATATTTCAAATGAATATTAAATTTTTTAAAATACAATCCAATAAAATTATTGAATATTTTTTTAATCTTACAAATTATATTATTTTCATTTTTCATTCAAAATCGACATTAAATTTTTTGAATCGTGAATCTTACGACGATTATTGAATCTTATTGAATAGCTACAAATTTGCAAAAAATAATATAATTAATTTTATTAAAATACATATGGAAAATTTATTGTTGTCTGAGATCATACTAAAAATGCTTCCCTGAGATGGTGAAGGGAGGCTTGCTGGCAAGTGGAATGGACAATGCAATAATTCAATACTGCCTTTATATAAGTTGATTTTCCCTTTTATTGAATATAATAAATAATGAATAGTTAATAATCTATGAATATCGAATGAGTGTACGATAGAATAAATAGGTGAGAGTTTCTTCAGGTAATATGAGTGATGATAATCTTATAAGTGTATTCTTGTGGTATGGTGCGTAATTGACGCCACCGATTGCCGCTACCGATACGCTGGAGAGGCCTGGGTGGTGGAGTTGGTATGTAACGTCACTGTTGAGGAGAATTGATGCCGCCTTTGCCGCTACCGATGAGTTGGAGAGGCTTGAGTGGTGTGTTGGTGTATGACGTCACTGATGAATGGCAATGATGCCGTGGTTTTGGTATTGCTTCTTACTTAGTTCACGGAGTCTGTAATAGCGTAGCTTACGTGCGTGAAGTCGATTTCAGTTGTATTGATACGTAAGGACGTGTGTGGAGTCAATCTCAGTTGCATTGATGGTACGTAAGAACGTGTGTAATAGCGTAGCTTACGTGTGTGGAGTCGATTTCAGTTGTATTGACGGTACGTAAGGACGTGTGTAATAGCGTAGCTTACTTGTGTGGAGATAGATCGTTGTGTATTGGATGTGACCTCTATATAAATGGTATTTGACTTGTAAGAAAACGATTTGTGTGAATTTAAGGCGATCTCTGTGTAAATGGCGTTAACTTGTAGAACAATAATTTGATCTTGATGATTGCTTGATTGAACTAGTAAGAGGATGAGACCGTCATGTGCAGCTCCTTAAATATTCTTGTATAAACAAGCTGCGTTGAAATAGTAGAGGTGATCGTTGCTATGCTAATATTTGTCGTGACGTAAACAGGGCATAGTCTCGTAGAGTTCATTTGTTATTACTTTTGAAATTATAGTAGTATATTCGAGTTTTTCTGTATAGTATTCTTTGAATTCGTTAGTCAGTTTTTACAAAACAAATGCTCGCCCGCTCATACCTCTCCTACTTTTTATTTTGCTTAGAAATTACTGCAATCCGTAACAATTGTTTATTTATAACTGTCGTATAAAAAGTTGTATATTAATTGGTAAATAATCTAGACAAAAATTCAACAAAATAAATGAATTGATAAAATATTCCTTAATTTTTTATTAATTTAAGATTTTTTTAGTTTTGTTTAATGTAAATTATGAAATAAATAGTATTTTCAATGTAATATCTAAATTTGTTACAGAAAGTAATGATTTTTATTTAAATAGTTTCAATTTGTTAATGTTTACTTATTTATTCCAATTGATATATTGATTTTTTATCCTAAAAAACCGTGAAATATAGAGGTACTGACATGTAGTTCGGCATTGTCAAGACTAGAGTAACATTACCTTTACCCGTAGACACGTTAAAAAATGTAATGTCAGAAAAATTTCTTCGAGGAATGAGTAAATCTTGTCTTGCTGATTAATGAGAATAACAAATAGACTGGAGATACTCAGAAGATGAGATATTTTTTGGATTGTAAGAAAGATCGATCTTCTTGTAATTGATACGTTATTATTTATCATACCTTTCTAATTGTTTTCACATATTTTTAAATTATATTTTTTTTCATTATGATTCTCTTTTTTTTGTTCGAATAGTAGATTTTAATTCAACAGAAAACATAACTTAATAATTAAAAATTAAACATTTATTTTTCCTTACATAATTGTTTCCAATCATACGATATTTTAAGCAGGTAGTATTCCTTTATTTGAAAGTTCGATATAATATAATGGTTTTCAATACAATACGGACTGAAAAGTATATTTAAATAAATTACCATTAAATGTATGACTTATAAAGATTTCCAATTTCTCTAATATTAGTATTGATATAACTAACCATAACAATTATTGCCATATGGAATGACCGTTACTGCAGTATGCGCCTCATACTTACGTATAGATTTCACAAATATATCATTACTATATACTGAATGTAGTAACTATACCTT